GAATGTTTGGTAGAATTCACCAGGGAAGCCGTCTGGTCCTGGACTTTTATTTTTGGGGAGGTTTTTGATTACTGTTTCGATCTCCTTACTGGTGATTGAGAAAGAAGAAAGAATAGATATTTGAGGGATAGATCATGGTCTCTGCCATATGAAAACAGCAAAACTTTTTTTTTCTCTTAGTTATGACGTGGAGCAGGAAGACCTTGAATGGTCGATGGTGGTAAATAATGAAAGAAAAGCACCTGGTTCCATTCTCTTTCTTCTCAGAGTCTAGTCTGTCCCTTGTTCTGTCTCCCATAGACAGATGATCTTAATTAGGGAAGGTATTCTGCTTTAATATTATCAATAATTAAAGTTTATTCAAAGGAATGGTTCTCTTTTTTAACATTTCTATAAATAAATTTTTTTAGAGTTTTGCAGTCCTTAGTTACCAATATATCTGGAGATAAATTCAGTGTATTATACTTATGAATTATTAATACAGACCAGTTCCTATTCTTTCATCCTAATTTTTACTAAAGATTGTCGTAAAATTGATTACTTTGAGATGTGAAATTAGTTTCTCTGCATATGCTATATTCTGACAGAACTATATAGTTGTTTTCATCTGTTCAGATAGTTTGTAGAAACACATGAATTGTAAAGAATAAAGAGTTAGTCTTTATTGAGCAATTACAAGTGACGTGAGAGAGAAACCACTAACCAGAAAAGAGGTTGCATATTCATTGCAGAGGCAATGACCTTTATGCGTTCTCCTTATTATCCTTCATTATCTAAATATCTAATTAATGTTTGGATAATATAATTTGTATTAAAATTACGTAGGTTAAAAAAATAAACCCATGTTTTTACACAATATAGTTCTCTGAGAACCGGTTTGAGAGTCACAATAAAATTTTCTCATAACTGTATGAGAAGAGCAACAAATATATAAGGTCACCGAGATTTTCAAACCATCTTTTGGATTTTCCAACTGAGAATAGGAGGAAAACACTACAGAAACAGAAGTAGTTTGGCTTTGTTATTACGGAAAGTCTATTACTGTGGGAAAAGAATCTAGGGTAGTACATTACATTTTAAAAGTAGCATCATATTGTGTTATCTGTAACTTTTTCCAATAAAATTAAATTACAGATATTTTATATCTAGAGAAAAATATGGATAAATAAAATCTTATGATATCTATATTAAAACATTCTAAATGTTTTTTACCAATTAAAGATATTATTTTCCACAATATCTCTCTGGTTTGAATAAAAGCATTCATTTTCCTAACCAGAGTGAGCTCCTGTAATTTCATTTAAAATAAGATACGTTAGTAAGCTTTTACAGTTTCCTGAAAATTCTTTGTAGCATATATTTTATGTTCCCCATTCCATAATTTTCTAATTATTTTCATTTGAATGTAAACAATTGGTAAGGCGAAAATTTCATTGAAATGTAAGAAAAAAAGTGATATTGGGGGTGAGATGTTAGGGTGAGGTGGAGCAAAATATAGGGAGAATGCTCTATGAAAAAATAGGTCATGCAGATAGATCAGAAAGTAAAGCAACATATCTGTGCTTTTGTAGTGATATAGAAGTATTCAGGAATTACAAATGATCCTCAAATTACATGACTTAATTGGTCTTTAGTAATTGTATAACCCTAAGTTGAGTCCTTTTTCCTTTAATATTCTTTATACTGTTTTAATTTAAGGTCTCATACCTTAAATTTCACACCGTAAAATATCCATATTGGTCACAAACACAAGCAAAAAGAAAATAAACTAGATGTATATGCTTCATCTCCCATTTATTAAGTTTTAAAATTGGGTCTACAATATAAGGCAATATCAGTATGTTGCTTTTCCTACATGAGCCAGTCAGCTAAGACTTTTAAATAGGTGTGCAATAGTATTTATACTAGTAAATCTTCTTGAATCAGACATAGCTGTTCCTCAATGTGGGCATTTGGTCTGCGTTCAAAATTGGCTCATTTGTCTTAAAATATTTTATCTGTTTGACGTACTGAATACTTCTGAATGTCTTTGACTGGTATTTGTTAGTAGA